TTGACATCTAAAAGCATATGACATAATAATAATAATAATCTAATTATCATTTTACTTTAGAACAGAAGCTGTACAGACTTCGCAAGGAAAACCGAAGTTCGATGCTGGTGTCTGTCATGCTCTTCTTCATCATATGTGTCACCTATTATGCCATTTGGGGACTTCCTAATCTCGACTGGTCCCAGTATTGGAGTGTACAGAAACCCAGCACAATGGAAGTGAGAGAATAGTGAACTGTAAATAGATATGACATGGACATGCATCATAGGAACTAGTGGCTGAGGAGCGAATTAGCTTCGGACACACTGCAGAGAAGGCATGGTGGTGATGCCGTTGTTAGTAGTGGGATGAATGCTGTGGCTACTATTAGACCACTTCTTGTACATTCCAGTTTAAAATGTTATGTAGGAACTGCTGAGTGTGGGGTGAGCAACCAGTGATTTGATGTTATTTTATTAGTCGGTAAGGACAGAAATATCATGTGGAAAATGTGCTTCTGCTCTGGCAGGCTTTTTAATTAGAGCAGTACCCAAGTACATATTTATGGTTTTGGTATAAAAAGCATTATATATAGTATATTTGTCTTTCAATATGTTATGGCTCATTGTATGATATATTCATAACAAGTGCCACAGAGTGACACTGCTTACCCGACCTGTGCCAATGGGGGAGCAAAGTGGGGAGTTGGAAAGTCAATTGGAATCAAGCACAAATAAAGCAATAGAAATGCCTTTCCGGAAACTCATGTGGCAACTATAGTAGTGCTGGAAAGCACCAGGGGCGTAGACTGATAGTGAGACAGAGAGGAAGGGGGCGACAGAGAGACGAGTGTGGGGATAGGGGTTATCGGGAGTACTCCTATAGATATCCTATATACTTATGCTGTTGCCAATCAGTGATAGTCCTGCCTTATTGTATTCAGTCTTTGATTGGACATACCCTTAACTCCTACCTGCCAATTAGCAAGTGAGTAACACAACATACTTGTTCACGTACTTTGCTATGCATTAGTGGGCGGTATAGTGACGTACTATGAAATGTTATTATGTATAATGTGTTGTATATATCAACCGCTACGCAAATGCAGCTGGTAGAAATTCGTGCATGTTGATGACTGTAAAGGAGGACATGTCGTGGTTGTTATCTAGGTGCTATTTGATGTATGGGACTACAGTACAGCCTCGGAGGTAGGGAACGGATCTCATATGAATTAATAAACTTTAGCTTAATCCTTCTCCAACTGAAAAATTTAACTCTGAAATTATATAGGCTCCACTAGCAAAATGATTTCAGGCCTTTGCTAACAGTAAACAAATCTGTGTTCAACCCTCCACTTGAGGGACAATACGTCATGACAGATAAAATGGAAAGAACATTTCAGTCCATTTAACAAAGTCATGAAAGTGGTAAGTCGCCATTAAAACAACAGCTTTCCACTCGGTGTGTCAGATCATGTCTTTTAAAAATGTCGGAAATCTGTCCTTTGCCCAACTTCCCACTGACCTCAAATTTTGCCAGAATGATGATTGACTCTCTCACCCTGACTCCATACCAAATATTAAAAGTGCCAATAGGACAATATGTCATTGGCAATGTCCTATATCTTAAATTAATTTAACGGGAGAATATTCCCCCTTCATTCACACCATGTGACTTGTCACCCGTAACCCTCAGATTTGACCTCCCAGTGTCGTTTCAGATTGCCCCTCTCCTTGCTCATGCCATTCTACAAGATGTACCTGACTGTGTCAGATAAGCTAAAATTCTGTATATGTTAGTTGCTTTGTGAGAATTTTGCATAATATTTTTCTTACACAATACAAAGTGATGGAGCATATTCAAATATCATTACCGTCTTCTAAACATGGGCATAATTTAATCAGCATGCATTGCAGAACTTTTCACATGATGCCATTAGATCACTAACAGAATAGTCCACATGAAATTTTAGAAGCTGTGTTATGTTTGTTTGTGAAATTTACAAGCCTACAGGCAATCACAAGAATTTCTTATATTACAAGTAGAAGAGTACACATTACTATGCAATGATACCTGTAACATACACCTGGAAACTGGTTCTAAAGTTTGTTGCATAACAACAGTCAATGTAAAATAGCAGAACAACTAACCATGACAACAGCGTGTGCCAAACCTGATTTAACTCTAGTCACATACATGAAAACGGTCACCTAATCAATAAAATACCTCCTACATTTATTCTTGAATTCACACACTGAAACAACAAAATGCCTGAGAATTTAATATGTAGGATACAAACATGACTTCATTCATTCAACCAGGCATGCAAATGACAGTTTATCTCTGAACTTCATGTCAAACCTGATTTTTTTACATTGTTCACGTGAAAATAATGACCATTTATGGCTCCAAAGCATTATCCTTCGCCAAGTAAAATCGTTTTTACTATAGGAAGTGACGTCATCTTATATTAGTATGATCACATACTGCATTATATATAAAATATCTACTTGTCATTTAGCCTGTATATTACACTGTCTCTTGTCAATAATTATATGATATATAAATGAAGCACTTACTGACTGCAGCCACACAAATAGTTATTCCAAATTCTATAACCCATAATATATAATTAATATATAAGAGCCACTAGGCCAATGGATGATAACAGGTTTAATTACTTCACATGAACTCTTACTACTGCTGTGGGGGCATTGTGTCTGCTTTTGGTCTGATTACAGGGGCAAATAGCTGTCAGTGTATATCCACTATTAATGAAAATATTTATAACACATACAAAATATCTGATTAAAACAGGTATGTATAACTGCTCTGAAATTCCAATTAATTCCCTGCATCATTATTATTTTACCAACTCTTGATTTCTGTGTTGTGTTATCATACAAAGCAATGATCACAAACTCCTGTTGCTGCCAGATCAATTATTTAAAGCATTCTCAGATGATGGACTTTTTTTTAGACAGTGCATGTGTGTTTTCTGTGTTGTCTATGGCCATTAAGGAACTAATTGGAATACATGAAAGCAACAGCAAACTCCTTGGTGACTGATAGTAATGTGCAGATGATGGTGTGATGAATGGAGTAGGCCAATCATACCTGACCAGTCCAAAGAGTGACAGTTGATGTCACTGGCGATGGTTTTGACCTGTCAAGAAGAAAGGGATAGCATCAGTGACAGGAAAACATACTTTTGAACTTGGTGGGGAGGCTTTTGATACAGCCCAAGTCTGGATGACATAATCTTGATTAAAAAGATGGATATCTCCAACACTTTATTGCCCACTAATGCACTGCCACAAAAGCACGTTTTTTATAAAAAAACAAAAACATTTTGAACTATCCCAGATTAATACACACAGATGCATGGCTATCGGGCAACTACAGGTAATTCAGGAAAATTACAATATAGAAACTTGTCTAATGCGGAAATACCAAACCTGTTGTTATATATCTCGTGTTCTTGAGGCATTAGAATAAAGATTCCAACGACTGTCTTACTTGTTACATAACATATTGTTGATATAAACTTGATTAACACAGATGCAGTTACAACAGCGTGTATAGTCTAGTAGTGCTGAGATGGTCTATGTCCCCCAGGGTACTGCCGGAACGTACCCTGGTACTATCTAATATGCCGGACCGTACCTCGCCTACTCCAGTAACGAGTCTAGGGAGTCACCTACGCCTACTCCCTAACCCTTTAACCATATCAGATAGTTACCAGGGTACATTCCGGTATACCAGACCGTACCCAGGGTACGTTCCGGCAGTACCCTGGGGGACATAGACCCTATGAGCTCTAGTAGTAGGTCTCAGGGGAGAGATAGTGAATATAGAAATAAGTTGTGGATATAGAAATCAGTTAACCCTAACCCCATCCCTAATTCTAAAATAAAACAAAATTAGCCAAAAATAATAAAAAATAAAATAAATAAGAGACAAAATTAGCCAATCAGAGCCGTCCCCTAGCAGATCACTGTCTCTCCCCTGTGCAAAATTCATAGTTTAGAGCAAAGATCCTATAGCGCCTCCGGCACTATAGTCGCGTTCACACGGTCATGGTTTGGCTCGAGCCAAATGGGCTAGATTTGGCTCGGGCCAAATTTGGCTCGGGCCGGTTTGAGTCGGAGCGTTCACACGTACGCAAGTGAATACTGTCTGTCAAATTCAAATTCAAATAAATTTTATTGCACAAATATCTCACAGATACTTTGCCATATGTCGCGAGATGGCGTTGTGTACGATTCAGAGTATTTACTTACGTTCCGAGTTTAATTATCAATCTAGAAAACGTGCATCCTGATCAAATTTTTCGAATTTTTATACTGTTTTGGACTTTATTTCGTCGAAGTACACGTTCGACACTCGCGGCATCTACCACTCAACCGATTCTACCGCTCTACCGCTCGCCGAAAGCTGGTGCTAAAATTTGGCTCGGGCCTGGTCCGACGTTTTCGATGGGACCAAATCTGGCACGGGCCTAATTAGGCTCGGGCCAAAAACGTCCGTGTGAACGCTCGGCTCGAGCCAAATCTGGCGCGGGCCTAATTAGGCTCGGGCCAAAAACGTTCGTGTGAACGCGCCTTATACGATCTTTGGCTAGTTCCGCAATAAGTCTCTATCTTCAACTAGTGGCGCCACCTCTTGGGCGTACAAAGAATAAACATTACTTTTACGTTTTGCAATTATCTTACACCTGTAAGGTATCAAGAGCTAATAATACCTAAAGTGTACAACGGAAAATCGGGAAAATAGTGCTATTTCACAGCAATATTATTTCTACTTTACCACAATATTCACTATCCTTCTCGCCTTTTGCGGGTCTGGCTATCGTTTTCCATCGCCGCTTGGAGCGCTGATAATTTATGTCACATGCCCAAATTTGGTACTCTTACTACACCATGCATATAGTAACTGAGCTGCGTTGTAGACTTAATTTAGAAAACATTGTTGGCTCCATCATGAAGGGCATTAGCCGTGCTAGGAAAGATAATGGGAGATAAGGGCATAGGCAATGCCCCAGAAAGTCACCGATTATAAGAGAAATGCTGTTCATTCATAAAGTTATCGCGGAAATAACCGAACTCTCACGAAGCGACTTTCCTAACCCGCAAAAGGCGAGAAGGATAGTGAATATTGTGGATGCGAGGTGCCGTGAGGCCTGTGGGAGGGGAAGTTTACGAGCCAATATTTCAGCCTCGGAGTATCGTATTGACAAGCGGTTGGTCTTGTTTTACAGAGCAAAGAATTCTGCTTAATGCAATACCATAACATTATTCTAGACTCGCAGGCAAAGTAGAATAATATTGCCGTGAAATAGCACTATTTTCCCGTTTTTCCGTTGTACTCTAGGTATTAATATCTCTTGAAGGTATGAATATCAGTTTTTCCAAGTCAGCTGTGAGTAGTCAGCTAAATGAACAAAAACCTCACTGATACTCAGTAGATGAATTGCCCTGAAATTCCGAATTTTCATGGAAATATGGGGTAATACTGTAAAATACTACATCATCTGCATACTCACTTTGCTTTGGCATGTGTTAGGATGTGAGATTTTAAGTTGGTTGACTGTGCAAACTTCTTGTTGCACCCATCAAACGGACAAACATAAGGCCTGTCACCAGTGTGGATTCTCACGTGGGTACGAAGATTGAAATCCAAGGAGAATCGCTTCCCGCATCCCTCAAATGTGCACTGCAAATATTCACATAATCATTAACTGGTTTAGAGGATTGAAAGTGATATCTGAATATAGTTGCACAATTTACTATATTTTAGAAAGTGGTGATTCAACCCTAAAATCAATTAATGTGTATATTTTATCATTATTAAACGCGTTGTAATTAAACTAAAATCTTTACAGAGCTCAAGCTGTTCACCTTTATCCAGGGATGAGATTGGTTAATTAAATTTTCAGCTGAAATTTAAATTAGCAAACAGAGGAGCGAGCAATGCGAGGACCGTAGGTCATCGCGATGCTAGGGGGGTCCGGGGGCATGCTCCCCCGGAATATTTTTAAAAGAATGGTGCAATTTGGTGCATTCTAAGCTATTCTGAACACATTATAGGAGACTCTTGAATCACCTTTTCAAGTTGTCAAAAGGAACAAACGAACTATGAATAGGAAATCAGGGGGCTGAAAATAGGGAATAGAAAATAGGAAATAGTTTTTTTATTAAATGTCTAGACATAATGATATTTTTCTGTTTCCACCCGTCGCTTGCATTGTTTTACTCAGACATAAGCTGCCTTGCTGCGACGAGAATTGAATGAAAAAAACACAATGCAAATGGAACAATCAGTGCATAGTCATGCACACAACATGCACGCAGCAACATGTAAACCCGGCCCCCAGGCCAGGCATGGTCGTTACGTGATCAGCTACCTCAAATGTCTGCCCCTCTACTGCAGCCTGTGAACGAGGATTTTCTTTTCTGGTACGCAAAAACAGATACACTGTATACTTCGCTGTCAGTCTACTGTCTACACTCTACAGTCTACAGTCAGGTGCTGTTGAGGGTATATAATTTAAATTGTTACATTGTTACCCCCTCCCAATTTTCTCAACGAATTTAGACGTTTCACAAAAACGACCCCTGGGACTGTCAAATCCGCGGATTTCCGCGGATCCGCGGAAGAATCTCATCCCTGTTTATCCATGAGCGATGCACCTAAATCTATACTTTTTTAAGATGTCTTCAATCCAACACGCTTGTGGCACTTGTAGTAACGCTATCTTACACTTGTAGTAATCTTACCTGGAACGGTTTCTCTCCCGTGTGCACCAACTGATGCCTCTTCAGCTTGGAACTTTCAACAAATGCCTTGCCACACTCTGCGCAGACATGCACTCGAGGACCATGTGTGTGGAGATGCTTCCGCATAGCCGAATTGTCCCTAAACATCTTGGTGCAGCCCTGAAAATTCATAGTTACAACACATTGTATTATATTTAATGTGTGTGTACCGTAGAGGATCGAAATAATATAATTCTATGTTGGACACGTATTGTTGGTGATCGTCGTCTATACACTGTTAAAATATTACTATAGTAAAAAAATAGAAGGATGGTACATACAAATTTAACTGGCAATTATTGATCTGGCAGTAAAAATACACATTTATTGCATAATTTACATTGTAGCACTTAAATGTATATGAATGTATTTTGATTCACTGAAGAGAACCAGACTAAGGTAGCAACAAAATTATCAAGGGTTAATAATGACAAATTGTCATTATTACCCCTGATAATATAATATATGGAAGCTATTACATTTTATTATTTATTTGTTATATTACTTATTCTATATTGAATTTTAATTAAATCAATATAATACAGTTTGTGGATGTTAGCAAAGAACATTAATAAAATATTATAATGCAATACATGCAACTTATGTGAACTGATAATATTTTATGTATAAAAGTTATTATGAAACTTGACAAATTGACTTTACCTTGTGAGGACATGTCACTGTCCTGGGCATATCCTCACTTTGTCGTTTAGGCTTTAGTCTGTTGATAAATAAAAAATATTTACTACTATTATACTATATACTATATTACTACTAAAATAAATAACTATACTAAGTACCTTCATTGCCATTGGTATTATTAGCCAATTAAAATATGTTTAATAAAATTGGGTCACATAAGTTTCAAACGATATGCATATATATATTGTCAAATGCAATTTCCATGTAATTACACTTGTGCATTTAATTATACTTGTGGTTTTCATTCAATTTTTTTTTCATCAAACTAAGCAATGAATATGTGGGCTTGCAATACCTTGCAAACTCTGCTAACTGCTTAGGATCGCTCAGATCTACACCTGGTATGCCCCCTGGTGGTATTTTTTTGCCAGTCATGTATTCGGTATAGTCCGGATCGGGTTCGGACTCTTCCGACAGTGGTTTCTTCTCGTCCCCGCCTACAACCAAGGACAAAGGATATTTTCCTCACAACGACAAACACCATAATTTCCCTGCGATATTGGACTGATACCCTTACATATCAAAAATCACAAGACACTCCAAACCAAAGTACGGAAATTTAAATCGTTATTGGTACATATGGTTCATCGTTAAGACAAGAAACGAGGGGGAAATAGGAGAGCAAATGCAAGCGGCTACACCAAAATGGCGACTTTCCGCCATTACACCGCCATGTTGTAAAACGGCCATATTCTACCCCAAAATATGGCGGCGCCCATGGATATATACATGGCCGACATCAAAATCAAAACATTGGTTCGTAAGTTAAGGAAACGTACAATAATATTAACATAACATGCATACATGTAGACGCTTATAAATACGACAACGATACATAGTAAGACCGCTTCTAACGGATCCCGCCTTTTGCTCACAAACCAATTTTTGTTCATTTCAGCAAAACTTCGATTTCAAATTGACTTCATTTAAACGTAAAAGCGAGAAAACTTTCAAACAACATCCAAAGTGATAGAACAATGTATAAAAATGATATTAAGCTTACCTGATGCCCACATTGTGACGGAAAATTCACCTTCTAGCGTTTTTATCTGAACCTGTTTCTGTTCCCATTTTCGGTTGCTGCGATCACCACTGTCGAAACTCAGCTCCGTCAATTCGTTACGTCTAAGTATCTTTCGTCCACGACCCTTCATTTTTCTTGACGAAGACGGTTCTGTTTCGATTATAGTTTCTTCTGGTACGGGTACTGGAATCTCGTACTGCACAATTCCAAACTGATCGGCTCCAACAACTTCCTCCGTCGTTTGCAAAATGATCTCCTCTCTCCCCGGTTCGGGTAACGGTTGAAGCGCTATCATCGGTTGGTTCGTATCTATTTCTGCAATTGTTGTCTCAACGGTTTCCATAGGCATCTCTACGGGTATAGTCTCGATTTCAATCTCTTGTATTTCTTGTTCGTCGTCATATTCAATGTCTTCTGGCTGTATCACGACCTCAGTACACACTTCTTCTTCGGACGCCATTTTGCTCGTACACTGCGGGCCAACCAGCTAGTTGTGTGGTTCGCATTTCAGATCACGTGACCTGATTAGCATAAATGTGCAGTCAAATGGGAGGGCGGGAGTTCCAAACCGGCGAACCCACAGGCACAGATACTTGGAACGTCTCAATAAAAAAAATAATGGTAAATAAATTCGAAATGTATTTACTACCAAAGTCTTAATGTTTCTCTACTCTATTTCGCTTATAATCACCTGTAAATGCCGGTCAAATGCTCATCTGCAACACACAAGTACACCGCACGCTAGCTGTTGCACACTGACACATAAATATATAGTTTTACTATAATTATATTTATGTGTCAGTGTGTAGCAGCTAGCGTGCGGTGTACTTGTGTGTTGCAGATGAGCATTTGGACTGCATTTACAGGAAATTGTCGGCAATAATAGGTGAAAGAGAGTAGAGAAACATTAAGACTTTGGTAGTAAATAGATTTCGTATTTATTTAGCATTATATTTTATTGAAACGCTCCAAGCGCCTGTGGGCGAACCTGAACTCATGCGTGCATTCAAAAATAAATCACAATGCGATAATGGCAAAATTCCGATATGTACTAGAGATCTACACTAGAGATACTAGAGATCGGCACATATATTGTGCGTATGTAGTATAGGAATTTAATGTCTATGCTATAATATAAATGTAATGCATGCATGCAATACAGAGAACCAATAATTTACTCAGTAGCTAGCATAGATGGTATCAAGAGCGTATAAAGAAGGTACCATCTTTATACGCTCTTGATGGTATATATATACATACAGCTATAATTACTACATCCATATATATATATATATATATATATATATATATATATATAGCGACTAGTTCGATAATAACTATACCGCTAGCAGCTATTCCTAGCTGTAATATTCATAAAGTAAATGCATGGTGTCATTCTCATGCTTGTTCAAATTAGCTATGATATAGCTAGATAACTATACTTACGTAAACATTTCTATAGACGTGTATATTTGTAATGTTTAGGTGAACTTGGCACGCAATTTTGTTAGTATATTTTACTTGGCTATATATATATATATACATCAGGAGTAGATAATAGCTAGGGAATTTAGATAATTTCCTAATCCCCTAGATTATTCCCTATCATCTACTCCTGATATACATACACGTACGCCTGTACGCACATATACACACGCGCGCGCGCACAACACAACACAGTCACACAACACACAGCACACACACACACACAACACACACCACACCACACATCACACACACACACAACAACAGGAGCACACACACACACACACAGGGGACACACACACGCACGCACACACACACGTAACCACACACACAAACACATCAAACACACCACACACGCACGGCACGACCGCGCACCGCACGCAGCGGCCCGCACGCACGCACGCTACTGCACGCGACGCACACACGGTGTGAGTTGTCGTGAGGGTCACACCACACGCGCAATGGGCCTGGCACGCACGCATGCACGCACTCACACACACGGACGCACACACGCGCGCACGCACGCATGCACGCACTCACACACACGGACGCACGCACACATAGTCACACATACACACGCGCGTGCACGATATATGTGAGTGTAATAACGTGACATATAGATCAATGAGTTTCATTGTCATAACATTCGTTATAAGAGGCAATGATCATGACTTCTTCGAAGGATCCGTTTAAGGTTATATAGCTTCTTTGTCTCTGTCTTTCCCTATTGGCCATGGAATGCTTTCCTTTAATTCCTCTATAGTTAGTTAATTGCCAACTCGAGGCTATTTCGACTGCGATCCGCACTATTGATCTGTCTATGTGATCAACTTTGTCTCTCCGTCTTCGCTGTAGTTCCTTGGACTTTGACGACTAATATTTACGAGGTTACGAGGACTATATATAGTGCTCAGGAGTAATAATGTAATAATTATGTAAGTTTATAGTTGCGGCGCCGTGATTTTTTTGTTGATAATTAAAGCAAAATGTTAATGCACTGCATCATATGTGTTTCCTTGTTGTGTACGTGGTTTAAAACTGGGGGAGTTTTTCGGCATATATATGAAGCCTATTTTATCACATATATTATATATATACTTAATTTATTTTAGATTAAACATCGCGGTGAAATTAAGTACATCGATGATCGATCACGCCTAGGCGCAACGGTAAATCCCCTCATGAATATCAGAGACGTCCTTCTCCGAGCTTGTGGCATTGGCATTGGACGGTGGCGACGCTTGTTGAAGTGAGTAGGCGTGACTTACTCAATGACGTCATCTTCTGCATTCGGCACTTTCGTTCTGCCGGTGGCGATCGAGTGTTCTTTGACTTGGGCGTTTCTTCTCAAACGTCGCTATAAAATAACATTTTGTGGTCGATTTTTTTAATAGGTTATAGAACAATGGGACAAAAAGTATCCAGAACAGACTTCGAATGGGTTGGAACTGATGAGCCCCATGCAACGAGAAGGAAAGAAATACTCAGTAAGTATAAAATTTTGTAGGCTGTAGCCTGGGCGCAAATCCACTGGGCGCAAATCCACTGGGCGCAATCGCAAGCCTGGGCACAATCTGTGCATCACTTCGTGATACCTATTTTTGATTTGATTTATTTATTTCGATAATTACTAAAGCATACATTACATGGTTAAGGTACCTAAGGTGCCTAAAGTGGATTTGCACCGTAGCCTGTACTACTGACCACTGTAGGCCCTAACTGTCGCTGAGAGGGTCTATGTCCCCCGGGGTACTGCCGGAGCGTACCCTGGGTACGGTCCGGTATACCGGAACGTACCCTGGTCACTATTTGATATGGTTAGGGTTAGGGTTACCGGACCATACCTCGCCTACTCCACTAACGAGTCTAGGGTCCGTAGGGAGTCGCCTCCGCCTACTCCCTAACCCTAACCCCAACCCTAACCCTAATGCTAACCCTAACCCTAACCATAACCCTAATCCTAACCCTAACCCTAACCTTAACCCTAACCCTAACCCTAACCATATCAAATAGTGACCAGGGTACGTTCCGGTATACCGGACCGTACCCAAGGTACGTTCCGGCAGTACCCTGGGGGACATAGACCCTATGACTATGAGCCTAACTGTCTCACGTCACTGTCAATGACAATGTGTCATACAGTGATACACCACACTGATAGTGATGCTCATAGGGTCTATGTCCCCCAGGGTACTGCCGGAATGTACCCTGGGTACGGTCCGGTATACCGGAATGTACCATAGATATATAGAAGGAAACTAGGGGGATCCGGGGGGCGTGTTTTTTTAACGGAACCACTAATTAATGCGTAAAATCGTCACCACACCATAGACGGTATTTGGGGTTCTTGTATATATAAGATAGCCGAGTCTGTGTACAGTTAGTGTTGGGTGTGGGACAGGTTGACTGTTTGTACTTGTGTATTGTCTGCAGTGCATGCGTGGCACGGTAAAAATACACATGCCGGTTGTCCTGGTCGAATGGGAATTCTTGACGATCGATTCCCTCGCTGGCAAACTTTTATTGTGGTGGAATTTAATCGGGGCGGAGGTATTTTAAACGGGGCGCAACGATTGAAACAGGGGGGAGTTTTCCCAAACGGGGCGCGCGCGCCCCGTTTGCGCAACGTAGGGAGAACCCTGGGTTAGAGTTAGGGTTAGGGTTAGGGAGTAGGCGTAGGCGACGGCTCCCTAGAATCGTTAGTGGAGTAGGCGAGGTATGGTCCGGCATTATATATTAGATAGTATAGTATTTAGTACCAGGTTACGTTCCGGCAGTACCCTGGGGGACATAGACCCTATCAGCGATAGTCATACATGATACAGGCTGTATATGTTCACTGTTATTAATTATGCTCGTATCCACCTAGATACAATAATGTAACCAAACAAGAGTACTTAGTTGGGTTACATTATTGTATCTATAGTATATATATCCACCTAGTCCGAGATTCCTCTGACCAATGCCCACACCGACGATTTTGGTGGATTTGGGGAGGAATAACCCACACCAAATCCACCAAAATTGTCGGTGTGGGCATTGGTCAGAGGAATCTCGGACTAGTATCCACCTAGCTCTAGTACTATAGCCCTTCGCTCCGCCGCGGCGGCCTACTTAATTACTTGTGTAATATCAGCCAATATACTATATAGTATTAAATATAGTCCACCTCTACCTACAAATTGTACAATGTCCCTGCCTTGCTGTCCCATAACTATAATATAAAGAAGCCAAACGAATTATGGTGATAGATATTAGGGCCCAATCGGCAATCCAATGGCATTCCTAGTTTAGCACCCTGGATTAGTTTAGCACATATATGCGAACTATATTTACTGTGCCTGTGGTCCCAAACTAGGATTGAGCAGCTATTAGCATGAACATGTTTATCCAATTAATGTACAGTATGCATCCATATAGAATTTACAATTGTTCATGCCATGGTATTAGGTGTAGCGGAAGTGTCTTTGAGTAATTATATGCGACAAACTAACGGGCTGTGTAGATATTTAGCGAGCTCAGTGAGGCTGTGCGATGTGTTACCTACTGTGCTAGTCATTGTCGAAACCACAGTGTGAACATGTATAGTCACAACAAGCATGCATCAAAGTATACTTTTTATTGGTGGTCTGACAATATACTAATGGTAAAACTCTTGTTAACTCTCCTATTTGCAAAATGTTCTTATCATTCAACATGTTTAGTCACACACAATGACCATGTCTTGCCATAGGGTAATGTTTGTGATGTGTAGCACCACTGCACGGCTCCTGCGCTCCAGCCTCTCAAGTTACAACGTCACATTACGTAACCATTTGCAGAGAAGTACCCGCAGATAAAGAAGCTGATGGGACACGACACGAACATCAAGTGGATTGTGTTGGTCGCGGTGATCGTGCAGCTCGTCTCCTGCTTCTTCATCAGCAGCTTCTCGTGGCCCGTTGTCATCCTCGCCGCGTACGTGTTCGGCGGCACCATCAACCACTCTATGATGCTCGCCGTGCACGAGATCTCGCACAACCTAGCGTTCGGCCACGCCTACCCACTGCGCAACCGCGCGCTCGGCATGCTCGCCAACAGCGTCATCGGTGTGCCGATGTCCGTCACCTTCAAGGGCTACCACCTCGAGCACCACCGTTACCAGGGCGACGAGGTGATGGACGGCGACCTGCCGTCGGCGCTCGAGGCGCGGCTCTTCCAGCACACGTTCACCAAGTTCATCTGGGTGCTGCTGCAGCCGCTCTTCTACGGTCTGCGGCCCGTGCTGATGCGTCCGAAGCCGATGACGCCGCTGGAGCTCGTTAACCTGGTCACGCAGGTGGCGTTCAACGTCGCCATCTGGTACTGCTTCGGCACGAAGGCGATCGTGTACCTGCTGTCGGGCTCGCTGCTCGCGATGGGGCTTCATCCCGTCGCGGGGCACTTCATCTCGGAGCACTACATGTTCAAGAAGGGATTCGAGACGTACTCGTACTACGGCGTGCTCAACGCCATCACGTTCAACGTCGGCTACCACAACGAGCACCACGACTTCCCGAGCGTACCAGGGAGTCGACTGCCCGAGGTACGTTGTAGTGCGTCGATGGCAAGAGCCGCCTGGTCTGCGTAGTCGTGTGCCGCTGCTGCCGTATTCACACGTGGTTCCTTCTAGTAGACCTGTGCCTTCCTACTACTGCGCTCGTTGAGTGGAATGACAAAGTACACTTTTTTTTTGGTTATTTCAACACTACTTCTGAAGTCAAGTCCACTTTCAGCCCAGGGCTTCTAAACCTGAGCCCAATATACATCAAAAATCTACAAATAAATTTACATGTACAGGAGGCACCATTGAATGATGATATAAAATATCGGAGTTGGCAAGGGTGACTAGATTGTTGCAGTGATTTGTCATCAAGTCATTGAGATCGAGGTCCATATTTGGCAAGCAGCCAGTTGTAGGCTAGCATCTGTAGTTTATCACATAAGGCCAAAACAAAATATATGTGTGGTTACCGTTACATGCCGAAAAAAAATAGGGTAGGTAGGTAGGGAAAGCTGGTTTTTATGGATTTTACTACTTATGGAATGCAAAAATAATAGAAATCAAAAAGTTTACAAAATCGGAACTGGTAGTATTTTTAGATTTATTTCCAAAACGGCATTCATGTCTATAACATTCCAGACACTATGAGAAGGGGGCCACCTGATTGCGGAAATAACGTGCATCATCGTTGTATGGTGTTATTGTAATTAAAATCATTTAGGTGAATGTTGTTGTGTGCAGGGTTCCCCCTAGGAACTTCAGAAAGCATGTCGGGCAATCGGGTAATTCATCCCCGATTGCTAATTGGAGTCAATTGCGCATGAAATAATCAGCCCATGTACACAGTATAGTTATTCAGAGAGGAGTCGCATACATCTAGCTGTGAAAAAGGAGCATGACTGTATGTTGCTTAGGCAATTAAAGATATGTCAGAGGATTTATGGGATGGGAGTCGACATATCTGGGAAGAACGCTGTATTAACATATCATCATATCATGCACCTATTATATGTGATTTTGGTTGGTGTTGTAAGGTCATGCAATATTTATCACAATAGATATGGATAAGTTTTTCTAAATGCAAGTATAGGTCAGCTACCAAGAACGAATGTGTGGCAGCAAAAAATGTGACGTTTAGCGAGCAAATAGGTGTGCAGCTATACCAATTAAACAAACAAGCAATCCTTTGAGTACGTGACTATCACGATGACTGTTTGTTGATGAGCATTTCTGCACGTAGTTTCAGTGCACTCATGAGTACTTTAGCCTCTCTCCTGTCCAGTCACATTAGAATGTTAGACATGTACTTTGATTGAATAATGATAATATCAGGAGTAGACAATAGCGAATGAGTGTGACTTCAATAAACAAGGGAAATTCGTCATTTACTAGCCTTATATTTATAATACCTACAATTTACTATGCGTAACTCATCCAACTTGAGCTCAAATCGTACACAGTACATTCGCCTAGCATCGTGCGAAATCGTTTCCTCGTATACACTCGCAATCCGGAGATATAGACTAAAACGTACGACACGATTTTCCATTCTGCTGCCAGCAAACTCGATGTGTTTTGCGCCGAAATTTAAACAAAAGGCAGCCAACTAACCACAGCTTGCTCTCTCGGCGAGGCGGTGTGGCTCGCAGGGAGATTGCGGTGGGCGTGCGTGCGTGGGGGGCATACCAGCTGTATGCCGGTATGTAGCTGTATGGTCAAAGGTTATCTCGCCGAGTGTTGCGTCGATGTCCAATCTCCCTGCGAGTACTGTGTACGATTTGAGCTCAAGTTGGATGAGTTACGCGTAGTAAATCGTAGGTATTATAAGGCTAGTAAATGACAAATTTCCCTTGTTTATTGAAGTCACACTCCTTCCCTATTATCTACTCCTGATAATATGCAGAGGACCGGGGGTGGGGGGTTGGGTAGACATACCTCAGCAAGTTTTACCGAGACATAGTTAGTGCTTAAAACCTTTAATCTTAAATTTATATGATGGAAAGAAATAGTAAGAGTTAGGCTTGCACAATTGTCTGGTCATGTACATTTTGTAACTATCAGGTAAATATACTTTTGCACTATTAGTGTACTTAGTGCGCTAAATTATTGTCAGTGTGTCACAGTAATCATGTTTGTTTTCTTTGTGTTAGGTCAGGAGGATTGCCCCAGAGTTTTATGACAATCTTCCATGTCACGATTCATGGACCAAAGTTCTGTACGACTTCATTTTTGATCCGGAAATTGGGCCCTACGCACGCGTGAAGCGACACCACCTTGTCACAAAGAAAGAAAACCTGGATGGCCTTGACATCCAGCTCATAAACACACAACGAGGTAGCACGGACTTTGACGGGATTAAGGCTGACTAGGCTCTAATAATATACGTAATAGACTTTCACCCTAAGACTCGACCTCTAATCGGACACACACACAAAATTGTTCCTATAACAGAATATGTTCAGGGAAGTCGGAATGAAAAGGTTCATGGAACATGTTTCTGAATAACTTTAATTCAGATGATTGACAACTAAGTGGGAGGTTACACAACTCATCACGTGGACATTTGTGGGAATACTTGTGCAAGGCATTCCAAGCAGTATAAAAGCAAATCAGAGCTTATCATCCATAACCCATGGTTGCCACGGTGTTAAATAACAGCAAGGTTGTAATAACCCTCCGATTTATATTAATAGGGTTTTATGATTAAAACTTGCCTGAGCATGGAGTGTTTAAATATTGTCAAAATTTAAATGTATATATTCGTTCAGAATGCCTACATTACTTACTGGAACCAATTCGGTTGGTTTATAGCTGAAGTTACTGTGAATGCACACTTTCTGTGCAGTAACAAGTACAGTAAACTATTTTAGCATTATTATTGTGAAGTAATAACGAATATACGTTACGAACAAGCTGTCCGATTTCTGTTATCTAGTCCTGTGAAACCACTCCATTTCGAGTAGGCATATGCAAATGACTGAAGAGCGAAAGAATGTTCAACATTAAAAAATAAATAAAAGTTATAAGAATACTTGTTGGTGTACACAAAGTATTATAAGAACATATCATATATGCGAGTCATGAAGTGAGCCAAGGAACAAGCTCAAATGGCACACGTACACTTTCATGTCTCATAATTTGATCATTTTAGTTTACATTGGAATAATCATATTATAAGCATATTACAAACACTGCTATGCGGTATTTCGTGAATTTTTCAAACATTAATGCAATTCTTGTTGGATAGGTTGTAATTTATGGTGAATGAGAAACGTCAAACTTTGCCCCTAGATTTATTCGTGCGAAACCAGTGGTATATGTGTATGAAAAAAGGAATATGTGCTTTTTGATGGTTTTAACAAAAGTGATTTATTGTCAAATACATTCAGCATTATGGTTTTAATTTATTAAATGTATTAAAACAGATAATTAGTTTAATAGTGACACAGGCACATAATTTCAGCATCACTGTTCTTGAACTTGTAGGTACACATATGAATGTCATATGTCCATTTATACAAATACCTGCAAATACATTTTTAAAAGAAAATATACAAAGCTGTGGGTTTAATCAATGCAGGTTATGACTCATTTCCTCATTTAACTAGCTTTTGACTGGCTAGGAAAACACTGGGTAAATTGTTTCAGATTCTCAAACGGAACTTTACTCGATCTTATTGTCTTTCAAACAAATTGTAATCGGACTGTATAATACATCAATCTGTTTACACGTCAGCAAATCTGTTGCAAACCGATGGCGTTCTCCCTTTAGGACGACTGGCATAGCTTTGGAAAAGTGCCACATGTGAGCGAATGATATACCATCGAAATCGTTAGTAGCCAAACCGGTCATTCAGTGCTGTTTTCCCATCCCCACTCTGATCTAGATGATTAGAAAACAAAAATTGCCATTCACAGATATAGTAAAAAACTTATCTTCATAAGGAATATTCATAAATACCAAACACTGTACAGTATGTATCGGGTGTCAATAGTACACAATGCTGAGATACGATTACATTTGCACTACATTTGTTTGTATAATGATTTACACCTTGTGCCTATTTTAATGGCCATAGCTTGAACTCACTTCATGACTTGAAGTCATAGTCCAGGTAAGTAGTGATAAATCAAATTTCCACAACTGACATAATCTGTATGATACAGGCGGTTCCGGTTCCGCTTCACTACACTAACCGCCTGTACACTTGCTTCTTCAGCCCGCTTCGCGAACGAAGAAATCATCGCGCCCAATCAGAGAGCTGTAACGGGCCAATCAGCCAATCAGCGAGCAGGCTTTTGCCTGACGTCATTTCTCAAGTTATTCATGTTGAATTTATAACTGCAATTAGTGCACGCTTCTGCCAAAGCCATTAACTAGATTGTTTCCATTCATCAGGTATTCGCCTGGGGCAAAGTTTTGCCGTATTTACTTCTGTACGCTCGATTGCTCGCCGCTAATCAGATTCCCCGCCATAACAACCGGTCGATCGATAAAGAGGCTTGCGAACCGCCAGGGTTGAGCTCGCGTACAGGCGGTTAGTGTAGTGAAGCGGAACGTACCGCCTGTATCATACAGGTTACAACTGACAAAGTTACACATTCCATACTGCCACCAGGTGGGGCTATATACAGTGAGTGTTATACATACCTGCAGGAGGAACCCACACAGCATAGTTGGGGTCTAAGGGATCATACCCAGAATCGGATTCCTGCTTCTTCCTCTTTCTCTGCTAGTGAAATATTATTGGTGAAACACAATTAATAGACATCGACAAGGAAAGGAGTACATGAATTGGCAATATCATTGATAGTTTACAGAAAATAAAGGTGTAGCAGCACTTGACCAGGGTATCATCTGATCTCGTATCACTTGATACAGAACGTCAGTTGATCATATCCATCTGACACCGTCATCAAACAATACAGCGTCCCGTTTGCATAAAGTGGACGAACCCGATAGTAAAGGTCATGGTCAGTTGTGCTGCTCAGCACATAAGCTGATGCTTGGCACTATGGTATATAATACATAACAGGGTGCGAAATTAACGCGAGTCCGGAGTCAAATACTCCCTGATTTACTGTCGGACTCCTTGATTTGACATATGCAGGAGTCCGCGTGACTCCCTGAAAATTCTGCTATACTAACTAGTTCGTTCCAGAGCACGGCCTCGCCATATTTTTTCAGTAAATGTCCAAAGAAAATTTGGCAGACATGCAACTGCAAGAAATCTTCAAAATAAGCACATGCGTTATTGTTAATATCTTTAGTTTTGAACCTCAGACTGCGGACTCCCTCATTTTGCTGCGGACTACCTCTTTTTGAGGGCAGGGAGTCCGTTGGACTCCCGTGTTCACAAGTAAATTTCTACCCCTGACATAATAATACTATTGCAGCCAGTAAGTATGACAACACGAGCAGCTGCTGTCGATAATAAGTTTGTAATTTTGGCATCTCTTGCCTCACATAAAAACTCACTCTATTTTGTTGGTGCTGCCGTCTCTTCGTTGCACGCTTGTCTTCCTCATCATGGTCGCCCACCTCTAACAATGTAGTATCTTCCGTTACCTCCATCACTGACGGAGTTACGTCTTTTGGTTGTTGACTCACCGAGACAGCAGTGCTTTCTTCGGGTTTCGTACGTTCGTGAAGTACTTCAGTGTTACATTCCAATGCATCATTTGACGATGTAAGATTCTCAATGGATTCGTCTTTGGGCAACACTTCCCTTTCATTTTGTTCATTCTTCACAATTTCGTCACCTTCACACTTCATAATTAGGGCAATTATCGGTTCTATAATGTCGTGATCACCAGGTAGATTTGATGAGCTGACGGGTTGTGGGGTTGTTGCAAATTTTCTTACTTTATCCAGCAGGTGTGGTGGAAGCTGAGGGCCTTTAAGTTTTGTTGTTGGAAGAGGCTTCACTGTAATCTGCAAGGTGAGATAATAACAACCAAGTTGTGAATAACTACTATCAGTATTTTAGAAGTGACGGTCATAACAACTATACTCATACTATAAAACTATATAGTGTGTTAACTGCTTTCGTGATCAAGATTATACACTTATAGTCATACCTATCACACATATAACAAGAGCCGCAGAGCGTCTGGGCTCATCTGAGGTCTGTTGCTATGGTTATAAACGTAACATTTAAGTCGTGCGTAGTGAAACCTTTGTTAGGCGCAGATATGCAGATACGCAGTTGCGTACACATCATTTCAGCAACCTTCTGTATTCTGCATACCTCCCAAATCCCATTGGTTGATACAAATCGCGTGCTTGAAACTCCTGTTTTATGGTGCATTGGGACCCTAACCCTAACCCTAACCCTATTAACAAAAACAAAGAAATTAATTGTTGTAAAAATTATTTGTTGTTATTAAATTGTTGTAAATAATTCATGTAAATATTTGCGTTAATTGGAAAAAAATAGTTAAATGGATAAAGATAGAAAAATACAGAAAACAAGTAAATAATAAAAAATCAGATGGGATACAATCCAACGACCTTTGAGCCGTGATGCCTGTGCTGTACGCGTTCGGCTATCCAGGCTTATTGGGTTTCTAGATTATGGATGTGTCATGAATATGACAACACTGTGACGTCATTGAGGCAGTTCAGGAATCCATGTTTAACCCTTCTCTTCAGGGTCAAAAGGTTATCAGACACTTACTCTTTGCACGTCAGTGGATGGATTTCATGGTCCTTTCAATAAAGTGATAAAAATGGTAGGTCAGCGCTGAAACAAAAAAGTTTTTTTACTCTGTCCATTAGGCCATGTCCTCAGAAAATGTCTGATATCTGACCTTTCCCCCACTGCCCTTTGACCTGTGACCTCCAATTTCGCACTGGTGATGGGTTTCCTGCCCATCACACTATACACCAAATATTAAGAGCAATGGTCGAGCCGTTAAGATTTGTGCCGCAATTCCGTATTTCCTCCTATACCTCAAGTTAAGGGGGAAATATTCCCCCTCCGTTTACACAATTTGACCTTTGACCCTTGACCCCCAAATTTGTCATCCTGAGTCCTTTTCACGATCCCCCCTCCGACGTCCCGAATATCGTGACCGTACGTCGAGCAGTTAAGATTTGTGCCCAACTGTTGACACACGGACGGACGCACAAACGCACGCACCAAAATGAACCACAATTTGTGACCGTAGATGGCGCTATACCCGCTTTGTAGCGATGGCGCTTGAAATAAATAGGTTATGCTGCGTTCCGACATGTTTTGTAAATCTTTACTCTAATATAGACGTTTTATCAGCAGAGTGGAGAGGAAATACCAATTTTGCATTCTTCAATAAAATCTTGTAAAACGAACCAGACGAGTGTGACACCACAGACTGTTTGTGTTTATATAAGATGCTATATAATTGCCAAACCCTACCTAATTTGCATAATTTTTTTTTAAATATCAAAACCCCTAGCCCTTATTCATTCACATACCAAAAATGAGCAAAATCCGTTGAACCTGAACTGACTAATGGCAATTCCCTTTTTAGCCAAAAAATTGCCGTGGCTCGAAAGTACGTCGACTGGCGTGCTTCAAAATAGGACGTTCCATATGGGAGCATAGCAGTAACAACTACACCCAATTTCAAACATGTGGGTCAAACGGTTCCTGAGTTATCGTTGACCGAAACCAAATGTTGACGGACGGACGGACGAATATAATTTCACGTTTTTAAAATTAGACTGTTGAATGAAGAAGTTTCATTCAAGGTATGATAATAGTATTACTGTAAACATTTAGCTATAATGTTTAAAATATTATGAGGTTAGTAGGTGAGGATGCTGTTGAAGTATTTGGCACTGAGGAGCTGCCTTTAGATCTGGGAAATGATTGAGATAGCAAATAAGGATATGCCAGTGGGATAAGGTTGGAGTGAAGTGGCAGAGGTAGAGGGACATTTATACTAGCTCTGGATTGTTGCTTTTCCAGAAATTTTATATATGTTAACCTTTCAATGAAGAATGGCTATTTGAAACTAACTGTCATGTTAAACCTAGATGATCTCTGATGGTAAATCAAGTACAAAGTACATTTTCCGTGACTACTCAAAACTACGGTTAGTAAGGGATAATTGTGTTAATTGATTAATTAATTTTATAACAGTTTGTTCACCTTATTTTCATCCCCAGATTTTTTATTTATTAAGGTATTTTTATCACTCTTTCCATTGTTCTCTGGTCTCTCATCACTCTCGTCCTCTTCTTCTTCCTCAACTCCTTCCTGAGATTCTGAAAGTGGCTGGTGTTCTTGTAAAATCTGCGAACCCTGTCACAAAAATGACCACAATAAATATCAACTGTGGCAACCTGGTCATTTCTGATCCTTATCACATCTAATACATATTTGTGAATGTGTGTATGTTTGTCTGTTCTCGATGCAAATCAATACGGAGCACTCTATAAATCTCAAAGATGGACAGTAGGGGTAAATTTTGGTGCTGAATGTCATGGGCACATTGGATTGGACCTCCGAGGTCACCTAAGCCAAAAAAACACGAAAAAACGGGAAAATATACTGGCCCCTGCAGCAGCATTAAATAAACGGGCCCCTGCAGCAACATTAAATAGACGGGCCCCTGCACCAGCATTCAATAAACGGGATTCACTTTGCACTGAGTCGCACTACTGTACAATGCACGTTACATTCATGTATTGTCGTAACAACATTCACCTTGCACTGACTTGATACAGAATGTGTAAGATTATTTTCGATAGAAGAGCAGGTTGTATTTGTACGTTAAAACTATTGCACAATATTGAAGTGCGCATAGCAAAATGCTAATTTAAAGTCTTCATAAGTTAACAATATTTTTAGCTTATTTGTACCCACTACACTAGCCAGTAGAAATGAGTAGTCATTTCTGCCCCGCATAAAAACTATCGGATTGTACATTACGCTTGGTATTGTAGGGGTGATTAGATGTTATTTTTTAGTGTCAACAAATAACAAACTACAACAAAATTCTAGACGTCATTAAACAACTTACATTTTTATTTAGCATATCAAATTTATATTAATACCATATATTTAACACGGACTTTGCTGTATGTGGGAAACTTAGATTTACGGCTTCTTAGTTTCTAAAACGTGGTGAAGAAGAATAACTGCGCTCTTATTCGACCTGTGCTACAGCATAATTATAACGTATGGCGTATTCGGCAGGATCACCAAAATGTTTGCGAGGATCACCAATATTATAACACTCGGTGATCCTGCAGGATCGATCCTGCAGGACACCGATGTTAGAAAAGTATTTTCAACCCTGTAGATAGATAGATAGTTATAGATAGATAGATAATAGGTAGATAAAAAGACAGATAGATATATAGATAGTAGCGTAGATAGATAGATAGTAGATAGATAATGATGGC